TCTTGATTCCCATCACTTAGGCAGCATCAAGATGAAGATTCCTCCATTTCAAGGCAAAAATGATCCAGATGTGTATTTGGAGTGGGAAAAGAAGGTGGAATTGGTGTTTGATTGCCATAACTATTCTGAGGAGAAAAAGGTGAAACTAGCAGCGGTGGAATTTACTGATTACGCTATGGTGTGGTGGGATCAGCTTGTGCTTAGTCAACCTAGAAATCGAGAGCGTCCTGTTGAAACTTGGGAAGAGATGAAAACTGTGATGAGAAAACGATTTGTTCCTAGTCACTCTCTACCGTGATCTCTATCAACGATTGCAGGGCCTTACTGAAGGGTCCAAAAGCATTGAGGATTATCACAAAGAGATGGAAATCGCAATGGTTAGGGTGAATGTGGAAGAGGACTGAGAAACAACTATGGCACGGTTTCTGCATGGCTTAAATCGTGATATAGCTAATGTGGTAGAGCTGCAGCTTTATGTGGAATTAGAAGATATGGTGCATATGGCGATGAAAGTAGAACAGCAACCCAAGCGTAAAGGAGCCACCACCAGAACTGGGCAAAATTCAGGTTCCTCATCTTCTTGGAAACTGAATTGGAGCAAAAAGGAAGAAAATTCTGTTTTTAAGCCTAAAACTGCAGCATCTAAGTCAAAAGAAGTTGGCAGCAATGAGAAGAGTAAAACAGATAATATGCAAGGCAAAAACCGAGCCATTAAGTGTTTTCGATGCTTGGGAAGGGGGCATGTTGCATCTCAATGTGCTAATAAGCACACGATGATCTTGAGAGAAGATGGAGGAATTGAAACAGAGGGTGAATCTGATGATGACTCTATGCCACCATTGGAAGCTGATGATGGCATGGAATATGCTGTTGATGGAGAACTGCTAGTCACCAGGCGTGCTTTGAATGTGCAAGCCAAAGAAGATGATGAAGTACAACGTGACAATATATTTCACACGAGGTGCCATGTCAAAAACAAGGTATGTAGTGTGATTATTGATGGTGGTAGTTGTACTAATGTAGCTAGCACTGTTTTAGTTGAAAAGCTTAATTTACCTACCACTAAGCATCCAAGGCCATATAAGCTGCAATGGTTAAAAGATTGTGGAGAAATCAAGGTAAATAAGCAAGTTCTGGTTTCATTCTCTATTGGACAATATAAGGATGAGGTACTTTGTGACGTGGTTCCTATGCATGCTGGACATTTACTTTTAGGGAGACCATGGCAATATGATAGGAGGGTAACACATGATGGCTTCAAAAATCGCTATTCATTTGTCATAGAGGGGAAAACAATTACTCTTGCACCATTGAGTCCAAGGCAGGTTTATGAGGATCAACTGAGCGTAAAAAAAGAGAGTGAGGTTGAGGGTATGAAAAACAAAGAGAAAACAGCAGAAAAAGAGTCCAAAAAGAGAGAAAAGATTGAGAGTGTTGAAAACAAAGAGAGAAAATCAGTGAGTGTTTACGCAAAAGAAAGTGATGTCAAGGCTGCATTCTTTGCAAAGCAGCCTATGTTTGTGCTTCTGTATAAAGATGCTTATTTCAACACTAACGAACTTAATGATTCTTTGCCTAGTGCTGTTAAATCTCGTGCAGGACTTCAAGGACGTGTTTCCAGAAGACATCCCTAATGGTTTACCACCAATAAGAGGAATTGAGCATCAGATTGACGTCATTCCAGGTGCAACAATTCCAAACTGACCAGCATATCGAAGCAACCCTAATGAGGCAAAAGAACTTGAAAAGCAGGCTGAAGAACTCATGAAGAAGGGGCATGTGAGAGAAAGCATGAGTCCATGTGCAGTTCCAGTGCTACTTGTGCCTAAGAAGGATGGGACTTGGCGTATGTGCGTGGATTGTCGTGCTGTCAAGAAAATCACTGTAAAGTATTGTCACCCTATTCCTAGATTGGATGACATGTTAGATGAACTGCATGGTTCTTGCATATTCACTATAATTGATTTAAAGAGTGGGGTATCATCAGATTAGGATTAAGGAAAGTGATGAATGGAAAACAGCCTTTAAAATGAAACATGGTTTATATGAGTAGTTAGTTATGCCATTTGGATTAACTAATGCACCTAGTGCATTCATGCGATTAATGAATCATGTTTTGCGTGCTTTCATTGGCAAATTTGTGGTTGTTTATTTTGATAGCATTCTGATATATAGTAAGAGTTTAACTGATCATATTGAGCATTTGGCAAATGGTACTTGAGGTTCTGAGAAAAGAAAAGTTGTTTGGTAACCTTCAAAAGTATTCCTTTTGCACAAATCATATTGTCTTTTTAGGGTATTTTTTTTCAGCTGATGGACAAACAAAAGTGGTTAATAGGACGTTGTCAACCTTATTGCGTTCTATTATTCAGAAGAACTTGAACAACTGGGAAGAGTATTTACCGCACGTTGAATTTGCTTATAATTGGAGCATCTATTCAGCAACTAACTGTTCGCTATTTGAAGTTGTGTATGGTTTTAATCCACTCACTCCTTTGGATTTATTGCTTTTGCCTATTGACCAACAAGCTAGTTTGGATGGGAAAAAATAAAGCTGAAGTGGTTAAGCAACTGCATGAGAAGGTGCGACAAAACATAGGGCGACGAACTGAGCAGTATGCAAAAACAAGCCAACAAAGGACGCAAGAAAGTTGTATTTGAACCTGGAGATTGGGTTTGGGTGCATATGCGCGAGCGATTCCCTGCACAAAGGCGTTCTAAGCTGCAACCAAGAGGCGATGGACCATTTTAAGTGATTGCGAGGATTAATGACAACGCATACAAGTTGGAGCTTCCTGGTGAGTATAATGTTAGTGCTACTTTTAATGTTTCTAATCATTCTCCTTTTGATGTAGGTGACGATTTGAGGACAAATCCTTTTGAGGAGAGAGGGAATGATGGGAATCAAGATGACAGCATATCTACTACCTCATGTGATCCATTACACACCCAAGGAGGTCCAGTCACGCAAGCTAGAGCTAAGAAGATGCGTGAAGCTTTAAATGGCCTTTATTGAGCAGATCTGGGTTGAAAACAACATACAACAAGCAAATCGAAGCTTGGATGATTATCAAGGCATGGTAAACATCATTCAGGTTCAAGAGAAGCTTAGTTGAGGTCAT